ATGCAGGCACGCTTGTCAGTTGAGGGTGTCTTCCTTGTACTCAAGTTATTTTTGCAATAGATAAATGCAAGACAGTAGACAAATATATAGGACGATAGAGAATTTCCAGCGCGATCAGAATATACTTAGAGCTGATCAAAAGTTTTGATCACGGTGTGAGAAGGGGAGGGCGGAATCACCGTTCCACGAACTTTTGATCAACCCTAAGTAATTTTGTTAAATTTGCCTAATATATTTCATGACTAATATTTGTTTTTCTAATAATGGAGCAATAGTCATTTTTTAACTTTTTCTAACAATTATGCACTATCAAGATAAATACTGTTTAACAGAAATGTTGAGATATAAATTCATTTTCGGCTATAAGCGTATTTCTGTGAAATATGAATGATAGTTTTATAATGATCAACAAAATCTACCAAAATCATTATTTTCTGTTCTTTTCAAAATATGAATTTCTAATATAGAAGAACAGTTCTTCGTTCTTCCTAGAAATATTGTCTATTAAGAGGATAAACTGCTAGAATCGATAAAGATCATAGAGGTAAACACTACTTTTTAGAAAGGACTTGATTCAAACGACAATTGACAGAAGCTTTTTTCTTCAGAATACAAGCGGAAAAATATTTCATTATAGCAGAGCTGGACAAGTCACAAGTCAAGTGAAGTCACAAATAAAAATTTCAAGTCAAGTCAAGTTATCCCTTGACATTTTTTCTCCCAAGTCAAGCCAAGTCAAATCTGGTTAAAGTTAGGCAGAACATAAAATTTGCTAGCACCTTTTGGATGAGAGAGAGTTTTTATACTCTCTTTCATGGAAGAAAAAGTCTAATTTAAACGAAAATCTCTTACTAGAAATGACTTGAAAAAAATTTCTCAATTCCAGTCAAGTCATACACCCAGAAAATTTTTGACCAAAATTTTTGACTTGACATGCCTAGCTCTACATTATAGTATTCTAAACTGAAACTATCAAAAAAAAAAACTCATCAAAACTAACAAAATTATTTCTGTAAAATTCTAATTGTTTTCTATGAATTGTTTTAGGTGTCGTGTTTCTCATTATTTTTCTATTCAATCAATTCAAATGTCAATTTTGACATTAACAAATTATCATTTAAATATTAGTCATGAGCCAATTAGTCGTTCAATGCGTGAACTTGATATTAATGTTATCGTAACACAAACATTTGATTCAGATGAAAATGATCAATTTCTCGTTGATTTAGCTACAATTGAATTTTTAATTGATCAAAATCGTCTCTATCAATCACATAATAATTCTTTCGTTAATTTAACAATTGATTGGTTTGTTATTTTACCATCATCTACAAATGATTCATTATTGAATGAGACTCAAAATGATGTGCTCCTATTTCGTGTACCTATAAATGTACGAATTGATGATATACAAACAATTGTGGCTATCACGGATACTACACTAGCATTTAATACCGCTATATTATCAGCAACAACTGTTCAGTATCCTTTACGAATATTAAGTGTAAATTATTCCGGTTTTATTGATGATCAAATTCAAGCAATATGTCATACAGATTCTCCACATCTTCTGCAAGTTGATCAATATTGTACAAATTATTATTTTTCTGGTCATGAAAGAGGTTGGAGTGGTATGAGTACTAGTTCAAAAATTATCTATAAATATGGAAAATATTTACGTTATTTGGATATTCGTGTCTATATGCCAGATAAACCGTTACGATTAGAATTAAGTGATCAAATTTTAAGTAGAATACATGGATGGTTTGTGAAAGATAGAGGATTAAATTTAAAAGAAATTCAATTTGAGAAAGAAAAACGACGACATCAAATTAAAAATAAATATAATAATATTGATGTTATTGACGATGATGATGATGATGATGATGATGAGAATACACGTTGTTATGCTGTTTATCAGCAAGCAATGGTTGATGTGTATACAAAATTTTATACAATGAATGATGGTATAAAATCAATGAAAATGATCTCTTCTATAAACTGTCTTCATTTATTTTGTTTAGATGGCAATCGTGGATATCTTTTCAATAATTTAGATGTACAGATAACATCGTTTGTTCGTCTTCATATGGAAACAGACGATAATCAAATTGCGATGATCAAAGATGGAAAAGTGATTGGTGTTGGACCGGGAAAAACAAATGTCAAAGTATGTACCACGTTGAAACTCTTGTATAGAATACGGTACTGGAGAAAATTATAGAGCCACTGTATTTTTGAAATTTTTCGATGAAGCCGAATGGCTAGATCAAATCTGAATAGTGATTTGGATAGCCCTGAAGTTCTCTATCAAATGAAGTATGCGTTAAAATTCCAGAAAAAAGATTTTGAAGAAAGTTTTCTAGAAAAACCCTCTAGCGGAGCTCTAAGTCCTAGAGAATTTTGCTAAAAATATTTTCCATATAGCCACCTAAAAGAGCATAAAATTCTGAAAAAAAATGAAGCGTGGGCCAGCGCCGCCGGGGTTTTTGGGGGGTAGATTTACGGCGGG